ATCAAAGTATAATACTATAATCTAAAAATTAAATAAAAAAGAAAAGAGAGGTTAATAAATAGATGAAATAATAAGAAAAAATCACCTAAAATTTAAATGTAAAAAAAAGTAAAAAATAATTAAATAAAAAAAAAAGTTGAAAAATAATAATAAGAAAATGAAAAAATAGAGAAACAACAACGATTATAAAAATTAAAAGAAAAACTTAAAAAATAAGAAGAAGATATACGTATTAGAAATTAATAAAAGAATTAAAAAAAGAAACAAGAGTAAAAGTCTATAAAAGAAATAAAAGAAAATGTACCCCCTAAAAACATTCAAAAATCTTAAAAAAGCTAATATACAATTAATACTTAAGAAAATAATTAAAATTAATATTTTTAATAATAAATTTCTAAAGAATATTTTGATCATGCCACTTTAAATAGAGTAAAAGAATTAATGAAAAAACAAAAATAAGAAAAAACAAAATAAGAAAAATAAAAAGAGTAAGTGAAATAAAAATTAGAATAATTACGATAAGAATAAATGTTAAAGCTAGTTAAATCCAAAAAAAAAAAAAATCCTGATGAAGAATAAAAACTTAATAATGTATCTAAAATTAGATGATTTAAATAATAATGAACTTTATTAGATTAAATTAGAAAAATTAACATAAATAATATACAAAATCCATTATTATTACTAAAAAGTTTAAAATAAATAGCAAAAAAGTACAAACAGATATCAATAATAATCTAATAGAATAAAAAAATGATAAAGATGTCGAATTATTATTGAAAAAAGCCAAAAATTAGTTTTAAAAATATGAATTTGAAGAATTCAAGTTTTATCTAAAAAATCATTTATAAAATGGAGAAATTATTATAACATCAGACAGTGAAAACAATACAAATAAATCAAGTTTTTGTTTAAAATAAAACTAATCATGTGGTTTTATCAATTTAAAATAGAAAAAACTAAATAGACCAAAAAGTTGCTTAATAAAAAACTAAAAGCGAAAAGATAGAAGAAGTAAAACAGTAACTTTTAATATTTTAGAAGGAAATTAAAATAATAAAAAATAAAAACTTTGCTTTTTTAGAAACGAAAAGCTTAATTAAAATTTTATAAAAGAATCTTCCAATTAAGATCAATGTTTAAATAATAATATAATAGATAATAACTTGAATTTATTAGAATATTATAAAGATAATAATTAACTTTTAAATGATTAAATATGAATAAAAAAATAAAATATATTTTATTATTAAATAATTGTTTTAAAAAAAATTCTTAAATTATATTTTAAAAATATAATATTAATAATTATATATGATTTATAATATTAAATTATTTTTTAAAATACAGTTTTATAGATAACTATAACAGATAGAATTTTTAATATTATTTTGTAATAGATAATTTATTTTAGATAGTTAAAAATATATAAATATAATTTATATATTTTATATCTAAAATTGAAAATTAACATTTATTAGCAAATTTATACTTTCTTTGTTTTTCAAATTAAAAACTCAATTATAGCTTATATAAATATGTCTTATCTAATAAATTTTTATAGTTTATATTTAATATAATATATTTGGGTAATAATATTCTTTTTAATTTATAATGCATTTTTGCAAAAGTTTTAATTAAATTAATAAAATTCTTAATGATTATCAAGTTAAATATCTAATTTTGTTAAAAATTTACAATTTAAAATTAAATATTAATTGTATTTAAGGTTATATTTCTAAAATGTATTATTTTAATTCCATCTTTTTTTTAATTTAATAAATATAATTATAAATATATTTAATACCCTGTTATATTTAATTGGAAATTCATTAGTAAAGGAATATTTTTAATTTATTCAAAAAGAGAATTCATTATAGAATAATTACAATATTAATAACTAATTAAAATTAAAATAATAAGAATATTTTTTATTTTTTTAATAAAATAAACCCCTTCAAATTAATTGATAAACTCATTAATTTATTAAAAAAAGAATTTTTAAAAATTAATAAAAGTTCATTTATCGAATTTTAATTAATATTTATATTATTATATCCCCACATATACAAATTCAATTCCAAGTACTGTAATATTTATAATTAAGAAATCATATTTTATAAATAACTAATAGATTAATCACTAATAAGTAAATTGTTATAACCCCAACTTCTTAAATTAAGACATAAATATTTTAATTTGTCTTATTTTTATATTTAAGAACTTAATAATTTAACATCTTAATCACAAATTAATCCCAATGTATTATGTCTTGTGCATCCCCATCTGCCCAAATTCAAATCTAAATGAAATAAATAGATTTTTTCGAAAATATTTCCTATATATTCTATACTTTATCTAGTTATAAATTAATTTAAAAAACCCCATTAAAATAAGTTAAGTTTTAAATATTCCAAGTTAACTATTTATATGAAACTTTCGCAAAGGATTTGTACTTTTTTGTCGCAAATATTATCCATTACTAAAGACCAACTTTAAAAATCCAATTATATTTTTTTTAATTTCTATTTGTTTTATTTTATTAATTTGATTATATGATCTATATATATATCAGGGTTATAAAGTAATTTTTTTTCTTTTCTTTATTCATCATTTAAAAAACTTTTTTTTTAATTCAATGTTTTTTTTTATTTTCATTATTTTTACAAAGGAAAAGATAATTCAAGCTCATATAATTGGTTGTTTAATTAAGATATAGATGGAAATAATATATTTAAAGTATTACTTTTAGGCTCATTAATATTTATTTTTAGTATTTATATGTTGATCAAAATACACGATGAAAGTGCTCTTTTATTTCTTTCACTTTTTTTATTATTTAAATAGTTTAATAATTAATTGAAAATGATAATTATATTAATTTTATTATATACGAAAAAGAATTTAGTTGAATTTCATTTATATTATTATAGTCAGGATCTTAATCGTTTTTTATATGCACTTGCATGAAAATATATTTTTTTCTTTTTCTATTTAATATGTGTTAATTAAAAAGAAAAATAAACAAAAATTCATAAATATATAAAAGTTAAAAATATAAATATTATAAATAATTATTTTTTAAAAAATATTTTCATATAATTTTTTTTTATAATTTATATGTAATAGAATTAGGAAGATAAAAACTAAAATTTTATAAGTTATTTTAAATAAACTTTTCTATATGATTAAACACTTATAAAAATATTTCGTTATTATTAAATGAAAAGTTATTTTCTACTAATAATAGAGAATTAAGAAGTTAAATAACTGGGATTGATGTTTTAGATTAAATGATTGATATATTTTAAAACAGATATAAATTTTGTTTCCAATAGAATAATCAATAATATTTACTTTATACTCATCTAAAATTTAAAGATAATTAATACTAAGAAAAGTTCTTTTTTCTTAATATGTATTTAATTTGACATTTTAAATTTAAGTTATGTTCAATTTTATATAAATAACTTAAATAAAAAGTATTTCTAATTCAATTATATTTCCTTGAATTTTTTCCATTATATATTTTTGGAATTCATTATAATTTTACTAATTCTAATTTTTAAAAGTATTTCTAGAAATATCTACTTTTTCAAAAATAAAAAATATTTCCCTCAATCTTCCAATTATCTACTTAAATTTAAATAAATAATTATTAATATTTTTTAATAAATATTATAAAATAATATAAATAAAAGAATATATTTTTATTGAAATATTTCTATTTTAAAATTATTTAATATATCTTTTCATAATATATTTATTATTTTATATTTTTTTATATATATATTATAAAATTAAATTTTATTATTATTTTCTACACTATAAAATCCATTATTAAAAATTATTATTTTTGATACAGGAGAGATAGAGAATAAAAGTTTATATTTTTATATGAAACAAATATAGATTGATTTTAAATTTTTTAACTTTTTTTTTTTGTGGACGAAATAGACAATAAAAAATGCAATTATTAAATTTTTAATTATTTGAAAAATTTAAATATAATAATTAAAATCTAATATAAATTATTTATTATTAATATTTTTTTTATAATAAAATATACATTATTTGCTTATTATTTATTAAAAAATTAATATATTCAATCAAAAATTATTTTTAAATGGGATTTTTTTATAATATTTTTTTTTAAAATTTGATATTCACTTTAAATTAAGTTGCATTATTAAATTTTTATAGAGCTGATATAAAAATTATTTTAATTTAAGAATGAATTTTAATATTTCAATATTTTTAATTATTTTATTTGCTTTTTTCTCATTTATATTTGTTTTAAATAATTAAAAAAAAACTATTATTAATAAATTTAATCTATATTTTTTTATTAAATTTATCAAGCATTTTTTATATTTGCTTATAAAATAATCTGTTAGAAATAAAAATAATTTAAAAATACTATGAATGAAACAGCTTATCATTCTAGTTAACTAAATAATAAATAATAATAAGAGTTACCATAGCAGGAGAAAAACAAGGATGAAATATACATGACGCTTGTGAATTTTCCTGAATTCAACAAATAAGGCGAAAAGCCGATAAAAATACAGCTCCGTTGTGTAAAGATATAAATTATGCATTATTTTATCGAGTAACTTTAATTGAAGGAACCTCAACCTAAATTAAAAAAAGAATTCCTAAATGACGTAGTTTATTTTTTTGAGATTAAAAGACAGTACACTCAAAATATTATTTAAAATTATATAATAAGAAGAAGATATTAAGATATAAAACAGTTTGAAAAAGCAGTAATAATAAAATATATTTAAAGCATATATTGTTTTTAAAAAATATAGATTTAAAAAGAAATTTCTAAATTTAAATTTAATATTTCTTTGCCAGAATTTCCTTTTATAAAAGAGCAAAAAATATTATTTGATAAAGAAGTTTTTTAAAAAGTATATTTTTTAAAAAAAACTTAGAAAAATAAATGATTTTAATAATAGTTAGGTATTTATTTATAAAGAATAATAGATATAATGAGTATTTAGTAAACTAATGCTTTTTGGGAATTTTTCGAGCTCTCTGAAAACGATTATTCAGGTGTTTTTAAAGCTAAAGAAACTTTTATAGGAAAAAGAAGTGGTGGTAGATTCAAAAAAAATGTTTTTCATGTTTTAATACTTGGTAAAGAAGACATTTGGCAATTACGTCTGAAGGTTTAATGTATTCATATGGTACTATAAATTTATATACGCATTGTATAATTAAATTAAATAAAAAAATAGGAAATAAGAATGGTTAACAAAAAATAAGAGAAATATTAATGTTTGACCAAAACTATAAAATGGAATATGGAAAAGCCAAAACAGGAAAAGAAGCAGGAATTGTAATAAGAACTTCATCAAGAATACTTCATTTAGAATGCTTGAATTAATTTCATTTCTATGATGTTTTAGCCGCTATTATTTAAGCTAGATAATGTTCTCCTTACACTGAAATACATAGATTTGATTCTTTTGCCCCTGAACGTTCAAACACAGAATGCAAATGGTTTATTGATGGACATGTAATCATATTTAAAAAATTATTTGAAATACAATAATAATTAAAATAGGACTACTTCAAAGATTTATATCATAATCTAATTAAGGCGAAACAATCAGTTTACATAACTGATTGGTGGTTATCTCCAGAAAATTATTTGCTTCGTCCTGTTGGCGAAGTAAAATAATATTTAAAATGTGATTTTTAAAATAAAAATAAGATAAAAAATTAAGAAAGTAGAATGGATAAAATTCTTGAAAAGTTAGCTGAAAAGGGCGTGCAAATAATGATAATTGTTTTTAAAGAACCTGCAATTGCCTTAACATTAGATTCAGCTCATACTAAACACTATTTAATGAAACTTCATCCTAATATAATTGTTATGAGGCATCCTAATTCACTTTTGCCCTTTTTATGGTCTCATCATGAAAAAATGGTAATTATTGATTAATAAATAGGATACTTAGGAGGAATAGATTTATGTTATGGAAGATATGATACATAAAATCATGACTTAACAGATTTTCGTTAATAAACAGAAAAATAAAATTTATATAATTTTCCGGGTTTGTTTTTTTAAAAAAATATATCAATATTATTTTATGAATTAAAATTTAAAAAAGGTATTGATTATTCAAATGCTAGAATTAAAGATTTTCAAAGTGTAAGGCATCATCATATAACTTCTTTAGATAGAATGAAATAACCTAGAATGCCTTGGCATGATATCTAAATGATGGTTGTAGGCGAAGTAGTAAAAGATATGGTTAGACATTTTGTTTAATATTGGGAATTCGCAAAAGTAATTAAATATATATTTAAATAAAAATAATATTAATAAATAAATAAATAAATAAATAAATAAATAAATAAATAAATAAATAAATATATAATCATAATTTTTTTATATTATATTATATAAATAAATTTATAAGGTTGATATTTATTCTAAAAACAAATAAAATAAATTTTAAATACTTACCTTTTAGAAAACTAACGAATTTATAAATTAACCTAAATTTTAAAAAATGAAGACCAAAATTAAGTCAACATTAAATAATCTTAAATTTATAGTTTAAACTAAACTTATGAAATAATAAAAATAATACGAATATTAAAATGATAATTTATAAAATTTGAGAATTAATTAATATATAAAGGAACTTTAAAAAAGTATTATTTATCCTTAATATTCCAAAAATATTTAAAATAATAACATAAATTTATAAAACTTTTATTACAGCAATATTCTAAAAAATATAGAGGGCTATAAATTATAAGAAGAAAAAAATATTTTTTTCTAAATAAACGATTTTTAAAAACCTCAATTCGAAATGTTTTTTTCATAAGCTAGTCTTATCAAAAGTGAAAAAAGTAAAAAATAAAAAAATATAATAGCAATACTAATAAATTAAATTTTAAAAGAATAATTCAAAATAAATTTATAAGAAGAATAAATAAATGAATTTCATGAAGGTGAAATAAATACATTAAATAAATATAGTATATATAAATATCATTAAAGTAAATTAAGCTAAATTGATTAATTTATGGAATAAAAAGAACTTATTTCATAGAAAACGAAAAGTAGATAAAAAGAATTTAAGACAATTTCTAAGCTTTTTTAAAAGCCATAAAATATATGTAATCCTTTTGACAATATGGCTGGAAAAAATGGACTTGATTTATTAGAAAATATTAATTAATAGTTTATGAAATAAGAAGATGTTAACTTTTTTGAAATTAAAAATACTGCAAAATAATCAGAATCGATTAACATGAGCTAAATGTATACAAAAAATAAATAAAAGGCTACTCCTTTATAATAGTTTTATTAAACTTAAACTGAAGAGAAAATTATCAAATAGAAAATGCATTTTGATTATATTGAATATACTAAAACAGGAACTTGTAAATGCTAAATGTTACGTTCAGGATCTAGCTGGAGTTTAGGATTAAGTAATTTTAATACTGAACTTAGTATATAAATCGCTTATATTTAGCTTATTACTTAATCTAAGCATTTTATTTATATTGAAAATCAATTTTTTATATCATGCACAGCTGGACATGTTGTTAAAAATTAAATTGCAAATGCACTTATTTAAAGAATTATTAAAGCTTATTAAGAATAAACATCATTTTTTGTTTGTGTAGTTATGCCTTTATTACCAGTAAAATTATATTTTTTTGTTTAAAAATATAAATACGTATTAAAGGGATTCGAAGGAGAAGTATATGATTCGAACTCAGCAGTAATGAAATGCTAATTATATTGGGAATATAATACTATTTGTAGAGGGGGTTCATCAATTTATGAAATTTTAAGTAACTAAGGCATTAATCCTTATAAATATATAAGATTTTATGGTTTAAGAACACACAAATCAATAAATGATTAAGTAAAAAAAAAGCAAATAGAAAAATTAAAAAAATAAATTAAAAAAAGCCTGTTAGTGAAATAATTTATGTTCATTCAAAATTATTAATAGTTGATGATAGGTTTGTAATAATAGGAAGTGCAAATATTAATGACCGATCTTTGATCGGAACTAGAGATTCTGAAATAGCTGTAAAAAATAAAAATAAAAATAAAAAAATAAAAAATAAAAAATAATAGATGTTGATTGAAGACACTAAATTAGTTTCGAGTTTTATGGATAAAAAACCTGTAATGGTAGGAAATTTCAGCTTTACTTTAAGATAAAATTTATATTATGAACATTTTGGATTGAACTCAATATAAGCTAGAGATCCTTTAAATGAAGATAATTTAAACTTAATATTCATGAGGACAAAAATAAACACTGAAATATATAGAGAAGTTTTTAGGTGTTATCCAGATGATTAACTAGAGACTATTTCTAAAATAGAAAGTTGGCAAAAAGAAAGGAAACTAGATAAATATAAAGAATTAAAAGACCATATAATAGGCAATGCAGTTGAATTGCCTTTAGATTTTCTAAAAAACGAAAATTTAAACTTAAAAATATCTCAAAAAGAGTATTTTGTTCCAGTGGAGAGCTTTTTGTAAAGAAGATGTCTTGTCGTTTTTTTTTATTTTATTTTTTTAAAAAAGTGTATTCAATTATTATATGTTATTATTTTAATATAATGATATATATTTAGTTTTATATATTTTTTTTGAAATAAAAAAAAAAAAAAAATTTAAAAATTTGTCCTATATAAAATAAAAGTTATAAATATCATTTAAAGAAAATTATTTTTAAGATATTTATTTTCTCAAATAAGTTTTGTTTGTAAAATATTTAAAATAGTTAAATTTTATAATATTTCATTTTATTTATAACTTTAATAATATAAAAAACTAAATAAAAAATATAACTATAAAAAAACAATTTATATTATAAATGCATACATTTTTACAATAATAAATATAATATTAAAAAATTTTCTATTTTTAAGTTATTTTTATATTATCTTTTTTTAAAAATAAAAGTTTATTTTAAATTATAGAAATTCTAATATTTAAACAGTATCAATTGAATTTTTATTTAATTATTTCAAAATCTACATTTAGCGAATCATACAAATTTTATAATTTAAAAAGTAATAATATTGTATTTTTAAAAAAAATCCCTTTAATTTACAAAAAATAGAAGATTTCAAATGATTTTTTAATATTTAAGATATATATTATATTTTATTATTTAAAATAATTATATATTAGTAAATAAATTTTATAAAAATCCGATATTACCCAAAATAAAAATACGAAAAATTATGGTTATTGAGGGAAAGTGGAAAGGATAAATCGTTATATAAAAGAAATATAATTTTTTTATATTTATTTGAAAAAAAATATATATAAACAATAAATAATACAATTATCAATTTTTACTATTTATTTATTGACTTTTAAAAAAAAAATTAAAGAAAAAATAATAAAGTAATATGTACAAATAAAATTAATTTATTTTTTATTTTTTGGGCATGTTTCAAAATTTATAAATTGTAGTGACTTTTTTAAAAAAATATGATTTATTTAATAAATATGTTTTCTAATGAAACAAATTGATTAAATATTTTTAATGTAAAAAATATCTTTAAATATTATTAGTTTTTATATAAATAAACTAATATTTTAATTTTTACAGAAATAAAAAAATGATTTTTTGAAGGGGGGGGATATTATTTTTTGCTAAAAATTATACATAAAAAATTAAAAATTTATGGGAAAATGGGCTATAGAAGAGAAGAGATAAAAAAAAATTGGAGAAGAGGCTATAATAATTGTCTAATTAATTTATATTTTATTATCTTTACAAAAGAAAATATTATAAAATTAAAAATTTATTTTATAAATTAAGTTATTAAAATTTTATTTAGAAAAAACATATGTCTTTTTTTGATTAAACAAAATAGAAAATAATTTATTTTAATTATTTTAATAATAAAAAATAAATAATTATAAAATAATATAAAGAAATAAAATTTAAAAAATTTAATCAAATAATTATGTTTTTATTTTTATAAAATAATTTAAAATTTATAAATCATAAAATAATAACTGTAAAACGATTAAACTCTTCTAATTTTTTACAAATTAAATAAAAAATAATATATAAAGTTATATAAATATTAACTAATCATACAATTAACAATAATAACCAATTAATTTAAATTAAATTTTTGCTTAAAAATATTTAAAATAATATTTATGAAAAATATAAAAAATCTACAGGCAATACAGACAAATTTGATTACAAATGCATTAAAAAACACATTATTGAGTGGTGATGAACCATTAAGCCCTACTTCGTTAGTAGAAAAAAATTGTGATGTAAAAGATAAAAATAACATTGATATTTAATTTAAATATTAAAACATTCGATTTCATGACATTTAAAGTTGCAATGTAATAACAAGCAAAAAAATTAAGTTTTAGAATTAAATATAGAAAATAATAATAGAGAAGAAGAAGCTTCAGAGAAACCAATTTCTAGTAATCAGAAATATTTTTATTAATTGCTAAAAAAAATAAAACTTCAATCAAGTTGCAAAAATATACTTAAAAATCTTTCAAATAGACGTTTTAAGTATCTTTAATAATAATAATATGAAATTATAAATGACAAAGCACTTCCATTAATAAGCCCAAATTTTTATTTTATAAAAAAAGAATAATTTACCAATAAACTAAAAAATAATCTTTATGAAAAATATTAAACAAAATAGTCTTTTAAACTTAATAATATCAAAATTTTATTTAAGAATTATTTTAAAACTATAATAAATTTATTTTTAAATATATAAGTGTTTTATCCAACTTCACCAATAATAATTTTTTAAGATATTCTTTAACTATTAAAAATAATTTTTTATTTTACTATAATTCCCATATTTTTCGCGTTTGGAGTTTAATTTGATAATAATATCTTAATAAGAGATAATTCTTTAAATATTTTTATGATTTTAATTTAAATATTATCTATTCTGGTATCATTTAATACTGGCATCATAACATAAGGAAAAATGGAAATAAAACGAAATATTATATTTATGTATTATATTAAAAATTAATTTATTTATGATTTTATTGAAATTATATTATAAATTCTTCTAATGTTAAGTATGCATTTTGATTAGCATATTCTATAAAATTTAGTTGCTAGTTTAATTTTAATAAGCAAGATAAATATGTTTTTTAAAATAAATAATAAACTCTATACAATTTCAATTACAACTAAAAAAGAAGCAATTATTATGCAATTGTTTAGTTTATTATGTATTTTTTTTAAATATTATAAAAAATTAAAATTATAAAAATTATAGTTATAATATTATCTGCTTCTCATATTTTTGGATGTATATGGATATATGTTGGCTTAAATGAAAAATAGAGAGGAATATAATCTTGGTTAAGAGATTTAGAAATCAGAAGTTGGTCAGATTTATATATTCATGCATATTATTATATGACTGTTACTATGGTTACTGTTGGGTATGGTGATATAACTCCTTTAAATGTTTATGAAAAATAATTATCTATATTAACAATACTTATTGCTTGTGGTATTTTCGCTTTTAGTGTTTCATCAATTAATAATATAATGAGTTCAATTAATGAAGAAAAAAGAATTATTAACTAAAAATTATAAATTATAAATGAATACATGCAAATTAAAAATGTAAGTTTTGAACTAAGACATTAAATTAGAGAATATTTAGAATACTTTTGGAAAAAATCATATTATCATGATTAATAAATAACATAAAAAGTAAATTAAAATATTTATTTATTTTTTTGAAAAAAAAAAAAAAAAAAGATTATTGAATCATTAAACTAAGATTTGAAATAGAAATTAATGGTAGAAGCCAATCATACTGTATTTAAACATTCTATAATATTTAATGAGAATTATAGTAATTCTCTAAAATATAAAATAATATCAATAATAAGAGAATAATAGTATTCTCCAGAATAAATAATTATTTAAAGTAATGATAAAAAAAAGGATTATTCAATATATTTTATAGAATCTGGAGAAGTAGAATTTTTTATAGAAGGTAAAGATATAGATGGTAATGATTAGGTGTAAGTTTTGGTAACATTAAAAAAAGGAATGTATTTTAATGAAATAAATTTTTTCACATAGTAACAAATATAAAATATATCTGTTAGATCATAAGGATTTTGCACAATTCTTAAAATAGATGCGAATGAATTTATAAATTAACTTAAAGAATTTCCCGAAGATTATAATTACTTTTGTCATATGAAAGATAATATAATTTATAATTAGTAATATTAAATTATTAATTCTTTCTGTTATTCATGTTAATTATATGATCACTAATTAAATAATTGTAATTTAATCCATCACATACCAAAAAGGTCAAATATTATTCTAAGGCATTTATATGATCCTAAGACTATTGAAAGACAGTACTTTAAAAGAAAGAAAAAAAAACAATTTAAGACTATTATGAATCTATAATAATTATAACTTAAAGCTATTTAATATAGCAATTTAACAAAAAAGTCAAAAAAATCAATATATAAAATCGATTCTGACTATGATGATTATGAAATTTCGTCTTAATAATCATCAGAATATACTGATTCCAATATGTATATAATTAGTATTTTATTTTTATAAAAAAAAAAGTACATTACCATAATAAGGTAAATCAAATATATAAATAAATTCATAAGAATTTGATAAAATAGATTGCTTTAAAACAAAGTAAATTTAAAATAAATACGAATTTATTAAATTTTGTAATTAAATTGTTATTATAATCATCAAATTTTATTTTCATAATTTTTTTAAAAATAAATTTATTAATTTTTTGAAAAAAATATTTATATTATTAAAGAATTGATTAAGGTTTAAGAAAAAAGTCAAATCTAATAAAACCAAATTTTAATTTTCATAAAATTATTGAAAAATAAGAAGAAGAATAATTTGATTAATAATTATTAGAATAACCGGAAAAACTAAAAATAGTATAGCCGTAAAATACTACAAATACAAATAGAAATAGTAAGCACGGAAGAAAAACATTATATAAAAATAATTTGAATCTTCCAACTTTGAACTATTTAGATTTTTATGAAAATAAAATTAAAATTTATAATGAAAAGTCTAAAAACAATATATCTTTTTAAGAAATATAAAATATTCAAAGTAAATTAAAATTAATTATAATTTTTGTTTATTTTTTTAAAAATAGATCAATCTACAGATATAAGATAAAAATAAAATAGAGTGAAAAGTATTATTTATAATGATGTTGAAGTTTTAGATGATGATTTTCAAATATAAATTGAAAATTTAACTAATTAAATTTAAAATATATATTGTCTAATGGATATCGATATAATGAAAATATTCAAAAATTATATGAAGCATTCAAATTACGATATAATTCTTTATTAATATCATAAAAAGCAAAAGAAAAAAGAAGGAAGAAAAGCTAGGAATTAATAAAATATTAGATTTAAAAATAATTAGCTTTAAAAGCTTTTAACAATAAATAAAAATCCTATAAATTTATGATTTTTTTTAATCTTTTTATCTAAAATTAATATAAATTTATATCATTTAGTTTTATATTAAATTAAATACAAAGTATTATATATATAAAATATAAATATATTGTATATTTATATTTTAAAAATTAAAATCTTTTAAAATTTATTATGAAATAAAAATAATTTCTATTATAATTTATTTTTGAATACTAAAAAGAAAATTAGAAATTAAAATTAGAAAGATTTAGAACAAAAGTCATTATATGTTACAAAATAGCTTAGCTATAAGGAGTGATTATAATAATATATTAATAAATATAATTAAGTAAAAATCTTGATGAATTTAATACAAAACATAAAATAGTAAAAAGTAAGTAAATAATATAAATAAATAAAAATAGTACATTAATAAAGTATTTTTTAAGATATTTATGAAAAGAATAAGAAAATTTTTATTTTTGTTACACATAAAATTAAAAATTATCATAATAAAATAAAATATTAAAAAAAAAAAATAATTTATTGCAAATATAATATATTTCTAAAAAAAAATATTTAAAATAATATATAAAATCAAAAATATTGTTCTTTTTTAAATCTGCAAGCAAAAAAAAAAAGTATTTATTAAAAAAAATATATTAATTATTTTTAAATCAACATTTTATGTATTTAAGTAAATAAAATAAACCATGCTAAAATAAAATTTATTTAATAATAATTTAGAATATTGAAATATATTTATTTCAATCAATTTTTTTAATATTTTAACTTTAAAATTTAATGAATTACTCTAGTTTTAAAAATATATAAATAAAAACTCATTAAAATAGAAGCCTAATAAATTAGAATACTTTAAAAAAATCAATTATTAAATCAATTTTTATATTTGAAATATATAATTTAAAAAAAAAATATTGACATCACACAAAAATAATTTAAAAATGATAAAATAAATAAAAGTCAAAAATTGATACATTTATAAGTTACACTATCAAAATAATATTTATAATTAAAAATTAACATCATAAAAATTTAAAATAATCGAATTTATTTCAATTAAAAAACATTAAAAATAAAATATTAAATTATAATTTCATTTAATGATTATTATATGGTGTACATATATAATTCGTTTATTTTTCTCTATAATTAGAAAAAATAATAATATTAATACTAAAAGTTCATTTAATATATTTTTTAAAATAAATTTTTATAACTTAAATATTTTCTTTCTTATATTTTTCTAAGTTAATGCCTTATAAAAATAATACTATTTATATTTAAGTCATATTTAATTATTTTTAAGAATATTTTATCTTAATTTTCGAAAAGTCTCATATGATCTTTTAGTTTTCTTATAATTATAATTTCATTAAATATATTGGATTCTTTTTCTTAATTTTTATTGGTTATTTTTTTATATTGTGCTATAGTATTAAATTTTTATTAATTGATTGCTGTACAAATATGATTAATTATATCAAATTTATCGTTTGCCTAGTTGTAATTTTCTCATATACTGCGAAAATTTTCAAAATAACTATTTTGCATTTATCTATTTTTTTTTAATTATTAACCAAAAATTACTTTAATTTATAAAAAAAAATGTATAAATTGGATGAATTTTATTTAAAACAAATATTATTATAATACATTATATTAATTAAACATTTATTTTTTAATATTTTATTTCTATTTTTAATTAATTATTTCTTCAATTTAAATTAAAGATTATCAATTTTTAAATACATTTAAAAATAACATTTTTTCGAAATTGTGTTAAATCCCTTAATTTTATAATAAATTAAAATTTAAAAAATACTAATTTAATTATAATATTTACCTATTATATATCTAAATTTATAATAAGTTTGTGTTTTTTAAATATTTAATAAATTTTAAATATCCGAATTAATTAAGTTAGTTGTTGCTATATTTAGTAAATTAATATATCTTTATTTTTATTTATTACTTGCTTCCAATAATTATATGTCTTAATTATTTACAATTTTATAAACCTTTTCCTAATTATTGAATACCTTCATTTGTTATTTAATTATTACTTTATTAAAATTTTATTATATAATTAAATATACAGAATAAAATAATTTATTAAAAACTTTATTCCTAAATTTATTTATTTCAAATTTTTACATGTACTTAGACATAATCCAAACTGACATAATTCTTAATTTCCTATTAAGTTTTCGCTATTAAAAATTGATAAATATATACATTTTTTTAAATACTTAAAATTTATTGTTAATTAATTTAAATTGTTTAAATTATCAAAACCAAGAGAAATTGTTTTAAGTCCATGATTATTTAAATAAATATTACTAGTTAAAATAATTATATATTCATATAAAAAAAAATTATTACTTTAGATATAAATTTATTTTTTTAGTATATTTTTATTATTTTAATATTGATTACAATTATTAAATATCTTCTCCTTTAATATTTTGATTTCTAATTTAAAAAATATAAAATATGTATATTTTATTTATGAAAAAACAAACGCAAGACATATAGTCAAATTACAACAATTTTATTGAAATTGATTATAATTGTAATTTTTTAAATTTTCAATATTTTCAATATTCATAATTATAATATTTTTGAGAAATTGTAATGAGAAATTGTAATAAATTGGAATTAAAAAATTATATTAAATATTTTTATTTATAAATATTATTTATATTTAAAAAATACTTTTTTTATAAAAATAATTATTATTTATTTTTATTTTCTCTATCTATAATTTTTAATTTAGTATTAAATTCATATTAATTTTATAAAAAATCTTTATTTGAATTATTATTAAAAATTAGCACTTAAATTTTTATTTAATATATAATCACCAAATATTGTATTTTTAATGTTTGAAAAAGATATTATTAAACTTCATAATCATTTTCATATATTATATATTTATTTAAAAAAATGCAAAATTTTAAATTAAATTAAAAAAATATTTAACTGTATGAAAAACCTCAAATAAGAAATTATTTTAATTTTTTTAAGTACTTTTTATTGCCTCTGTACATAATTAGAAAATTAATATTTAAAAGTTTATTTTAAAAAAGTATAATTTTTAAATTAAAATAACTTTTAATAATTTATATTATTTATATTTAATAAATATTTTTTAATAATATAATTCTTTTAATTCATTTTTTATATATAAATTTTTATATTTTTTTAAAAAAAACATTAATAATAAAAATAAAAAAAAGTTAATGTCTATTCAATAAAAAAATAGAAAAAATAAAATATATATTTAATTATTAAATAAATATTCAAAAAAATAAAATAATTTATTAGTATAAGTCATTAATTTTTCATTTATTTATGTTGATTTCTTAACAATTTTAATCGATTTGTCCTTATTAATATCCTTCTTAATTTTATACGTTTACTTAATTCTAAGTTTAATTTTATATATCATATTAATGCTCTAACTATTAATCTTTATTAGAGAGTGATTTACAAATAATTTCTTCTATAATAATTTTAATTTATTGAATATTATTATCTTAGTTTTCAAAATCTTTTTAATTTTTTATTTAATTATTTGAATTTTATTCTGAAATAGTTTAATTATTATTTTTATTATTAATAGATAAATTTTAAAATTATTATATTTAATCCTAATTATCTTTAAGACAATTTTAATCATTTATATCTTATAATTTTTAAGTTTCTTCCTACAATTATTATTTAAGTTAATTTACTTAATTAAATGAACCAATTGAAAGTCGCTAAATAATGCTTTCTTTTCTATAATTGATATCTTATAATTATTGACTTAATTTAGTGTCTAGTGTTAAATTATTATCTTGTATTATCTTTTAGAGCTATTCTATTTTTTAATTAAGAAGAAGATTATCTTAATAATATTAATCATTTTTCATTTTAATATGTTTGAAAAGCACCATAGAGTTATCTCTAATAATATGATAAATAAATAAAAAGTTTTATATGTAAATATAAAATAATACTCATTAAATTAACATTATTGGTATATTTTATATTAATCGGTTATTCCGTTTTGATATTATAAAAAATATTCTTTCCAAAGAGAAAATGATCGAATAGAACTATCTGGTTCAAGGTAATTAATATTGTAGATTTATTCTTATATATAATATGGATTTTGATACTCAGTAATTCTATTATTAATATAACTCCATAAAGAAACTGTATTTTATCTTGTTTTATGCACTTATATTTCCTTTTTATAATCAAATTAAAAAATCCAAATTTTAATATAAAAATATTAAAAAGAAAACTTAATAGCTATTATGTAAAAAAGTTCCATATTGACAAGAGAAAACATGAAAAGCAATATCTCTTAAGAATATTGAATTAAATTCAAAAGACAGAGGAAATTACTTTGTGATTTAATAAACACAATCTAAGAATTATATAAAAATAGGTGCTCTCTATTCATCGGAATGATTTTTACTAACATGTCCACTTCTTATATTAAACTAATGTCCAAAGCTAATCCATTCTTTTTCAATTAAAACTTCGAATCCTTGAATAGTCCTAAAATATGGATCTAAAAAAATTTAAGATAAGCTCAATAATTAAGCAGTTCTATCCCATCCATCACTACAATGAACAACTACATGATGTGAGTCATAAATTGCCTAAGCTACTTTTTTACTTCCTGAGATAATAGTATTTATATGAGTAAACCATTCAGATTTGTCAACATCTTTAAGATAATCTTGTGTATTTGAATTCACTGCGATAAACATTTTTTTTAATGAATCTCTTATTTTATGAATATTGTGTATATTTAAAAATTCAAGCTCACAATTTTAATAAAAATCAATTATTTCGTAACCTTTTCCTGTTAATTACTAACCTACAGCATTTAAAAAAGGTCTGGCATCGTAAATTTTTAAATTGTTTAAGCTATTATTTCGAATCATTTTTAACATATGTTCATCTTCGGCTGAACGATTTTAATTTATACCAGGCTTACATTATGCACATCGCCATAAAGTCGTAAATTCTTGACTATTCCTTTTCTTATATGCATATGTTAATGCTGGTAATCTTTCTCTAGAACGATAACGAGAACATTTTATTGCATATTCATTAGATACTTTGAATGGAATTGCTATTAAAGGAGGATATGTTGGACAAATTTATCCAAAACTATTATCAATATAACGAAACATATACTTTTTAAAATATAAAAAATATTAAATAAAATAATATATATATATATATATATATATATATATATAAATAAATACAAATATATATTTTATTTTATATATTTTTTTATATATATATTGATTAATTATTTATATTTTTTACATTTTGATTTTGAATATTACTATCTTATATATTTATGTTTATAGGAGCTACATCAATTCCTTATCTTGAAAACTCTTGATAACTATCATATATTTTATGCCCTTGATAATCTAATTCTAATTAATTATCAAATTATCCATAAATAAAGGCAAAACATTTTTTAATATCTTCTGGAAAAGCTTATCTATAAGTTTTAATATAAAGCTGATATGAATTTTCTGAATTTTAAGGGGAAAAGAAAAAATAATACATTCTACCGTCTTTTGTTTATATTTCAATATTACTATAAGCAGGTCCTTTCTTTTCCATATTCCTTTCAATTTTATTTATATGACCTAAAGTTATAAATAAATATTTTTCTCTATCTATATATTTTTCAGAATAAGAGTTATTAGAAGCAACGAAATTTAACTTTTTTTATATAAAATATTTTTAATTTTAATTATAAAGTAACTTTATAATTAGTTAATATTAACAATCCATCTATTTATATATAATTAGATATTTTCATTGTTGTTTAAACTGAAAATAAATAGCATTCACCTTTTACTATATAATCTCTATTAACTTTTAATTTTTTTAAGATTAATTAATATTAATCTTGTTTTTAAGTTAATTATTCTATATCTTCTTTTGTTAACTCTGATGCTAATTTATCAAATTTAAAAGGTTTTATTTAAAGTTGTTACTTTATCAAGATTGATTCAATAGAAATCTGACAATTGCTATTATGCTTCATTTATAATAAATTATTTTAATTTAAAGTTCTTGTATCTTCACATTTTATTATTTCTAAATCATCAAAAGAATTACTCTTTTATATTTCATTCGATTGTTAAATGCTTTTTTCTTCTGTTTAATTTTAATTTATATTAAATTCTAATTATGTTTAACTTTAAAATCTATCACAAACTTAATTTGATTATAATTAATTTTAATTACTATCAAATACTACTTTTCTTGTAGGTTCTTAATTTTTTTTTTTTTGATGAGGAGAATAATTAAAATTTATAATCTATATTTTTTAAGTTTATTTAAAAATAAATAATATTAAATTTTTATTAACTCTTTTGTTTTGATGTGTTTTCTCTACCTATATATTAATTTATAATAATTATTGTAATGTTTTTTTTTTAATATATTACTGGTAAATTTGTATTTCCTTACTGAACTTTATTTATAAAAAACTATTCTTTTGCCTTTTTTTCTTAGTTATCCATATTTTTAAATTTAAATTATTAAATATTTTAATATCTTATTTATTTTTTCTTGAATTAAAATATAAATAAAAATTAAATTTCCCATATAAAATAAAAATTAATATTTTATTTATGAAAATAAAAATTAATTTTTTATTTATGAACATAAAATAATATAAAATTTAAAAAAAAAATTTTACAAATTTAAATAAAATTTAATATTAAATAATATTTATTTAGAACATTATTAGAACATTTATATTTATGTGATTATAATATAAAAAATAATATTTTATATCTAATTTACATTAATTTAAAACTGTATATATTAATTAATTTATAAAAAGGACTTTATGTGTAATAAATTATTTATATATTATAAATAATTTGTATATTTTTAAGCATTTATTAAAGTTTTTATTTAAAAGTTTATTTAAGAAATATTAAAATTAATATTAATTATTAAATCATTTATTATATTTAAATATATATTATTAATTTTTATTATATTTTTATATAAAAATACTTTTTAAGTTAAGTATTTCATATAATTATAATAATAATTTAGGACTTTATTTTTTTTAATTTATATATATTTTTATTTTTAAAATTTTTTTTTAGAAATTAAATAATAATAAAAAATGGAAACATTAACTAATATTATAATGAAAACAAATAATAAAATATTTTGATAAATTTAAATATAAAAATACATTTTACTTTTAAAAATATAGATAATTTTAAAAGAATTTTATAAATAATTTAAAAATAATGAAAAATTCATTTTTATTTTTTTCCTCTAAATAAGGATATAAGTGATATTCCTTTAACAGAAACAACTTTAAATCTAACACCCGGAATATCTCCGACAGCATGACCTTATCTTCCCAAACCTGCTACCAACACTTCGTCGTTTTCAGCTAAAAAATTAAGACAACCATCCCAAGGAACAAAGGCTGCAATTTTTTTAGAATTTTTTCTTAGTAAAACTCTTACACATTTTCTAACAGCAGAGTTTGGTTATTTAGATTCTATACCAATTTTTTCAGTTACTAAACCTTTAGCATGAGAAGCTCCCATAAAAGGATTTTTCCATCTTGAACCCAATAATCTTTTGTTATAATCATTATCAGCCCATCTATTATTATTTATTTATTTATTTATTTATTTATTTATTTATTTATTTATTTATTTATTTATTTATTATTTTATATTTTCATGCTTTATTTTTATACCTTTAATCTTTTCTATGTCGTGAAAGCTTTCTTCCAGCTCTTATACCTCTTGGTTTTCCACTTCCCATATTTATATTTTTTATATTTCTTTCTATTTTATATATTTTTTTTGTTAATTTTTAAAATACATATATTTTAATATTTTATTTTATTATTATTAATTTTAGACTTTTTTAAATATATTAAATTTATATTATTATTAATTTTTTATATATTTACAAGTTTTTCTTTAAATTCGTCATAATTTTAATCATATATTTAAATATGAAGAATATATAAATATTTTCATTTTTATGTTTATATATCTATTAGTTTTCTATTAAAATATTATTATATTCGTTTAATATATTTTATTTTAAAAACTTTAATATATTTTTTAATATTTAGTAAAAAACTATATTAAATTATTTAAATTGATTTTATAAATATTTACTTTATCAATTTTATTATATTTTATTTTTATAAATTAATATATATTCTATGTAATATATTTTTAGTAATGAGTTTTGTCTAGAAATGAAAAAAATAAAAAATTTAATTAAAATGTCTAAACATTTATTTTAATTATTATTTATTTCTAATTAATTTTATATAAAATATATCTTTAATATTTTAAAACCATAAAAGTTTAATTTTTTTTTTTTATGATTTAATGATTATATTATTTAATAATTTATACTATATTATACATTAAAATTTATTATTTCAATCTTTCTCTTTTTTTTCTATAAAAATATATATATTTAGATTTGCTATTTCAGTCTTATCATATATATTATTTTAAAACTTATATATACATATTATTATATAATTTCTAAATTATATAATATATGCAAATAATATTTTTTTTTTTGTAAGAAAGTAATTTAAATTTTTTAATTAGTTTAAATATTTAATATTAATAAAAGTATTTTATATTTAAAATAAATATAAATTTTTTATTTTAATTTTTTTTTTTTCAATTTTAAAAATAACTAAGTTTAAAATTTTATGCATGAAGACATCATAACTTACTTTATATGATTTAATCAATCTATATTATAAAATTTATTATTAAATATTACTTTTAATTGCTCATATTTTTTCTATATTTTTTTTAAAAAAATCTATCAACATAAAAAAAATATTAATTTACTAATTTTTTTATATTTCCAAATTTTAAAAAATCTATGTTAAATTTGGTCAAATAAAAAAAAAATTAAATCATAAAAATGATTTGTTAGATGTATTTTTTTATTTATTCAATTTTTTTAAAACAATTTGGACAAGAAATATATTAAAACATAAATAATTAAATGATAAAATAAAATAATGATAATCAATTAAAGTTATTTATAAAATTTTAAATTAGAAAAATAAATAAAAATAAAATAATTGAAAATAAAATAAGTAAAAAAAAATTAAATGTAAATTGAATAAATACAAACTAATAGATAAGATTCAAATACAACAAAATATATATTATAAAAAAACCAATAAGATAGAAGAGATATAGTATATGAGAATGTATAAACAGAACAATAATTTGTAGATACTAAAGATGAAAAATGTTTGATCCAAACCGATTAAAGCTAAATTTAGATTTATTCTAATCCTCCTACATCCAAAAACAATAATGTATATTTAAATTAATCATAAGATTAGCCATTTTTCAAAAAAAAACGTGTTTCAATAGAATCAGATAAATATTTTCGTACAAAAAAACAGCAATAAATTAAACAAAACTTAGTCCACAAAAAATCGAATTAAAGAAAGATTAATTTGAAAGGCTAGCTTCCTAAGTAAAAAAGTATAATTAAAATATAAAAGAAGCAAAGCGTCAATAATAAGACAATATGTTTCTAAATAAAAAGGCATCATCTATTTTATAATAAAAAAATAATTAAAATAAGCTTTTTAGTTAATTTTATTAATAGATATATAAAAGAAGATTTTTAATTTAACTTGCGAAATTTGCTCCTTTTAAAAGTATGTCTTATTTAAAAGACTATTAAATAAATATAATTAATGATTTTTCTTTTAGTAGTATTAAAAATACTCAAGTTAAGTAAAATATAGGTTTATTTTTTAGGAAATTAATAGGAATTACTTTCAAAAAGAAAAATATGAGCTAATAGTAAATATTAATTATAAAAAGTGTATAAAAAATATAAAGTCTTCTTTTTGAAAAAATTTCACTATTTCATCCTTCTAGCTAGTTTATTTTTTTTTGGGAAAATATTTTGTGTATTTTTATTATTATTTGTACTTTTTTATTACCTATAGGTGTTGCTTTAGGAGAAAGATTTTCATTTATTTATCCTAATATTTATTATGCCTTTTTAAAAATTGCATAAATTTACTTCATTTCTAATGTATTTGTGTATTTAAATACTTCTATTTCTAACGAAGGTAAAATGTTAGTAGAAAGATAAGAAATTACTAAAATTTATTGCAAATAATAAATTTTTATTGATGTTTTATCTATCCTTTCTTTATTTTCAGGTATAATTAAAACAAAATATTTTAAAAATAAAAAAATAGAAGAATTTAATTTACCAATATATTTTGATTTATTAATATTATTAAAATTACTAACTTTTAAAAAAATATTCAGAAGTCGTGAAGATGCTAGTGCAAGTAATTAAAAGAGTAATTTTCCTTATTTTTTGAAGTTACTTCGTTTATTTTTACAAATATGGCTTATAGGTCATTCGTTTGCATGTTTTTTTGTTTATATATCTACAATATAAAAAGTAAACAATGTCTAGAACAATTGGTTAACAATATATAAATCTGGCCAAGAAATATTATGGTATGAAAAGTATCTTTATGCCTTTTATTTTTGTGTTACAACAATGACAACAGTGGGGTATGGTGATATAACACCTAAAAGTGTATTAGAAGTATTATTTGTAATAATATCATTAATAGTATTATGTGGAGTATATGCATATAGTTTCAATTATATAGGTATTATAGTACAAGATATGAACAAGAAAAAGGAAGATTTTAAAAAAAATATGAATCAATTAAACTATTATATGTAAAAATTAAATATAAATGTAGATTTGAAATATTAAATAAGAACATTTTATGAATATTAATAAAACTAAGCAGAAGATATAACATTAGAAGAAGAATAATTCATTTTAAATAAATTATCTCCTGCATTAAGAAAAAAACTTACTATAGATGCAAATAAATAGATTTTAAAAAAATGTGGAAGCATTTTTTAAGGCTTTTCATCTGATTTTATCGAAAGCATTTGTTTATAATTAAATAAAGTGAAAATGTAAAAAGATTAATTACTTTTTCGTCCTAATGAATTAGAATAAGATCCATGTTTTATTATATTGAAGAAGGCGAAATTGAATTGTTCTTAGAATAAAAAGATGAAATATTAGATGAAGGAGGAGAAAATAAAACTTACTTAAAGTTATTAAGAAACTTAAAATAATGAGTTCTTTGGTGAAAGAAGCTTTTTTGTTAATCAAGCAAGATCATTAGGAGCCAAATGCTCCACTTTTTCGAAATGTTATGTTATTTAAAGGTCTTAATTTATCTAAGTATTGAAATGCTTTCAGAAGGATTTTGAATATTTTTGTATGGCAAGAGACTAAATGATTTTAGGGAATAACTCTTTAAATTTGAAATGCTTTTCTTGTAATAAAGAAGGCCATTTTGTAAATTAATGTCATTTATTACATACTAATTATGATAAACAAAAAATAATATTATAAAATAATTATTGGAGTTAGCATTTTACTCGAATAAAAGTAGAAAGAAGAATAAAGAAAAAAGTAAGAAGAAATTTAAATTAAATACAATCTAAAATAAATGAAGAAGAAGAGGAAGAAGAAGAAGTGGAAAACAAAGAAAACACAGAAGAATATAAGCAATTTTAATAAGAAATTTAGTAAGAAATTCTTAGTATATTTAAGAACAATTAAAATTTAGAAATTAAGTCTACAGAGGTTGTTGATGATGAAGCAGTCATAAATAATGTTTATATCTAATAAAATAGTAATATTAATAATTTAAAAAACAAATCAAGTATTATTATAGAAGATTTAAATTAAAATTTTGAAGACAATCTTATTTTATTATAATAATAATAATACAACAATGTAGATAATAATGCATACTCAAAAAAAACGAAAAATAACATAACATGCTTTAAAATTAATTAGGATAAAAAAACTGTAGCTAAAAACTCTAAAATGAAAAATAAAATCTCAAATAATAATTCATTAAATTCTTCTTTTTAATAAAATAATAATGAAATATAGATACTTTTTAATTATTTAGTCGATAAAATTAAAAATAATATTATTTATTAATTGTAATAATCATAGTTTTAATAGATATCTTATAAAAATTAACCTAATTAAACTCAACTTCAAATAAAAGTTTCTTATGATGAAAAAATAGAACAAAGTGATAAAAGAGAACTTTAAAAGGAATTATACAAGCGCTAACAGTATTTTATTTATAATATTGATGAATCGAATGATATTGTATTTGAAACTAAATAAGATTATAAATATTATTATCCTTCATTTAATCTTAAATGTATTCTGTTAAAAATTAAAAAAGATATCAATATTGTAAAGTTTAATTAAAATTTTGGTAAATATACATATTACAATAGATTTAAAAAAAATAAGTTCATAAAATAATAATGAATTTTATATTATTCTTTATAAAATATTTAAATTTTACATATGAAAAAAATGTTTAATTATTTATAAAAAAAATTAATATATATATAAATAAAAATATATTTTTAAAAATAATTATAAAAATTCATTTATTTTTATTTAATAATGTTTTATAAGCTTATAATTCTTCCTTTTCTAATATGTTTGCTATTTTAGTTTATTATTTTTTGAAAATTAAATAAATTAAAATTAATAAAATATACTTCTTTTTCTAAAATCATATTCGTTCGCTTATTAAAAAGTTAAGCAAATATTTTTAGGATCATTTTTGTTAATTTTATCTGTCATTTATTTATTTCTGTAAGGTAAAGCATACTAATAATTAATTGCATTTTTTGCATCGCTCCCTTTAAATTTATCTGGAA